CCCTGCTTCTGTGGTATTAAACCAAGTACAAGCAGTGGTCTTGTTGCAGGTTAGGAGATAGCAGACTGCAGCATGGATGGGAGCAAGCAGCCAGGATCAGAGGTGGCAGTTTCTTATGCTGGCTTGGCTGTTAAGAAACCTTAAGGTGTCATTACTGTGCCGATGTCTATGTATGACCTGTAAGGAAAACTGATGGGAACTGGCAAGTTGGAAGGAGTGTCAGAGAGGGCCAACAGGAAACCCACCTTTTCCCAGGGCATCTTTATTTTGAGGCTTCTGTATCTCATCAAGCTCTGGAGCTGCTTTTCCCACTGAGCAAAAATCCCCAAAGTGGTTGTAACCAGGGAACTGGAATCTGGCCCTGGACTTTGACACATTTACATGGCACTGGCTGTGTCTGGGTCAGGAATGTCCCCCAGGATTAGTGCCTGGGGGTTTAGTGCCTGGGGGCTCAGCAGCTTTCTGGTGGTGGGGAAGTGCAAGGATTGAGCAGAGAAATTCCTTTGTCAGGCCTCATTCCTGTGTTTTTACCAACTCTGTGGTTGGTTTTGATAAGGTTGTTCCTTATGATGAAATGCTACCATGAATAATGATTGCAGGATTTGTCCTTTGAATGTCTAAATAATGGGTACTTGAGGAAAAAAAATCTCTCAATCTCCTAAACTTTTTCTGTTTAGTAAATAAATACTTGGAACAATGACAGACAATTAATTTATCAAATCTTGTTTCTGGAGGGCTGCTCACTAATGGGAGAAGCTACTTTCATGGTAACGGTTTTAAGCATATTCTTTAAAAATAAATCTATTAATTTGGCAGTTACAGCTCATGAAGTTTGGTACTGGAATGCATTATTGAGCCCCACACCCACTCATCCTTCCAAAATTTTAAATCCTAGAAATATTTTCAGTTACAAAAGTGAATGAACTTGAGCTGTCTTTCTTGCACTGAGATTTAGGCAGCTTTCTGTCTTTTAGAAAATTTAGGAGAGGATTTCAACTGGCTCTTAGTTTTTAAGAGTGGTAGTTACTGAGGGCCTAATTCTTCTTTCTTCATCTGCCTTGTGAAGTGCAGTACTCTGTAAATAAATAGTCCCTTTGAAATAGCTTCTAGTTTAGATTTTTTTTTTTAAAGGCATTTACAGTTCAGCATTGATAAATGTGTCAGAATGAGACTTGAATTATTTCTGGGTATTTGGTTTTGTATTCTCTCACAGTATGAATTAAATATTTATTTTGCATTAGAGCTTGTGGCGATGGGATTGTTGCTTTTAATTGTAAGTTCTTTAAAGATATCGTTGGGATTAAGAAACAGTTTAGTCTAGCAATTTAGCCTTTGACTTTAAAGATATTACAAGATCAGTTCTTAACCCCTTTCTTGGGGCCGATCACATTCTTAAGCATAGTGACGGTGGAAGTTAGAGGAAGCTGTGCCTGGAACGCAGAAAAATAAATTTGAAGCTGCGTGGCCTAGCAGCCAGTGTGTTGCCACAGGACTCTGTGCTGGGATCCTGCACCCCTGGGATCCCTTCTCGTTGCTCCTGGGGTATTTTTATCACTTTGGGCAGATAACTTCAACTACTGTTGCTCTGCCTTACCTACTTGCTGGTAAGTCTGCAGGGTTCCAGGAGCCAAGTTCCAAAATGCCAGTGTAAAAGACGACCCTTTCCCATCCTACCACTCCCCCAGCCCACAACTCCCCACCCCAAAACCAGGTTCCTGCCTTGTGTCTCCTTTCCATTCTGCTCAGTACTGGGCTGCTTCTGAGTTCTTATATCCAGCATACAGGCTATACTTGCCTCCAGGACCAACTCCTCTCCTTCCATGTTACCTCAGGGCATCTTCTCCTGGATCTGTTCCTCACAATGCCTGTTGGCAAGAGGTTGTAGCTTGGACCGGTAGGCCTTGCCTGCATCTAACTAGGGCTCCATCACAAACATTTGTGTCGTGGCAGATTTTCCCCTACTTCATGGTCTGTTTTTATGCTGGTAAAGGATGGTGTCATGAGCATGAGTTCTCTCCTGGCTCCAGAGCTATTCCATTGGCCACATGTTTTTAAAAACTGTATTCTCAAATCTTTGGAGTGGTTTTAGGAGTCTTTATTTTTGAGAAAAGGCTTTTCGAATTTGTTTCTCTCATCCAATTACATTGCATCTTTTCTCCTGTGCTTTTCTCAACTTTTCTTCCTAGTGTACGTATTTTAAATATTACATATTTTAAATGCAACAGTTAAATGCGTTCTGTAAGGAGGATCAGACTTTGGGAAGGGATTTCAGGATGCAGTTCCACCTTTTAAATAATATTAAAGAATGTGCTCAGACATCACAGTGCTTTGTAAAAAGCCTGCTGGGAGTGTAGGGAGGATCCGTGTTGCGTCAGCTGTGCACAAAAAGAGCTGCTCCCTTAAAGCATCAATGTTCTTGCTCTGTCTGGATCTTGCATGTGGATATGGGTGGACAAAATCCAGTGTCCCTGTGTAACCAGTTTCAATATTTGGGTTTATGCACCCTCTCTCTCTCCTTTTTTTTTTTTTTTTAAATAATTGTTTTTATTGTGAGTTAAAAGCTTTGCTGGGCTTTAGTTGGGAGAAGTGGGAAAGAAATAAGTGGCATGGCATGAAAGGCAAAAGGTTATCTTTGGAGTTGTAGTAGATCAAGTGAGGAGAGTAGCTTTCTCTGAGGCTTGACGATGGGTGGTGCCTTATGAAGGCAGGGAGGAAGCTACATATTAAGGAAAGTACCAGAGAGATGGTGGAGAAGGACAAAGTAAATGAGGCTGAAGCTGGAAGACTGGCTTTTTCTGTAACTCAGTCAACTGAAAGCTCAGCTGCTCAAGGATTCCTCCTCTTCTCAGCCTCCTGGCCTGTTTGGAGGAGGCTTGCAGTAGAAATTTCAGAGACAGAATTTGGTGGGAGCTTCGTCTCATCTTTGTGAGTGGTCATTAAAAAGAAGCAGCTCCTTATAACCACCTTGTTTTTTGAGTGTGAATGATTGTGTGGTGGCTACTAACTATCCCTGTGAGGGGCATTTTCAGAAACTCAGTTCTCTTGGAACAGGATTAGTTCTGCTCCATTAATGCAGAAACAGGATCTGGAAAATGACCAGCTAGATCAGTGTTTAAGGAGGAGAAACTTGGTGCTCCTTGATCCTTCAGAAATCTCCAGCCCTGCTGTCAAACTGAATCTGCATTACGTTCCACACCATCTGGTAATTGCTGCACAAATTACTTGATTACCCAGAGTCTCAGTTACCATTCTGTATTTATGTTCCCTTTGATATTTGAAGGATTGCAGTTGTGTTGTGCGTGGAACTGTCACAGTGAGGAGTCCTTTCTCAGGGTGAGTCACACTTGCGGAGTGTGTACTTGAGACGTGCGTACCGTGTTGTCTCTGGAAGAGGCCATGTCAAGATGAGCGAGTATGAAAGTTCTCTCTCACTACTCTTCTGGGAAATTTGTGTTAAGGCTCCTATGTAAAACTTGCTGCTGGGCTGCTTCTAGGAAAGGGTAGTTGAAGATAGGGAGCTGCGGTGAGGTAGAAATAAATTTCCTTTTTATTTCCTTGTTAAATCAGCTGAATTTGAAAGCAGGAGTCATGAAAAATCAAGATGATACGATGAAAGTTTGAGTGCTAATGTTATCTCGGTGAATGTTCTTAGTGTAACAGGTATCACACTAAGATCAGACAACAACATTGTATTTGATCCAAAGCATAAATTAGAAGGACAGCATCTTCAAGGTAAGAGTGTGTCCAGAGATAACACTAGTGTAGAATGACTTTTTTCCACATTTACATTTTAAAATGGAAATAAATTTTGTTTTTAAGGAAGGAGAATAGGATAGGAGTGATTATCTTCAGGTGCATAAATGGAGAGCATTTGAAACGTAGAGTGACATTTCTCTGACTAGTGACTAGTCAAATTTGACAAGGGTTTGGCAGGGATGGGAGGAGAGTAGAGGGATTCTGCATGACTTCTAGGTGGCTTTCCCCAAGAAATCAAACTGACCAAACGAAGATTGCCATTTCCAGAATAGTGACCGTTTGGCTACGGAAACTTGGAATGAAGACTTGGAACCCACTGCTGCCCCAAGTGTGGTTTGATTTTGTTGTTGTTTGTTTTTTGTTGTTGTGGTGTGTGTTTTTGTTTGGTTCCCCCCACCCCCCCGATACGCAGCAGCCAGCACTTCTTAAAAGAAAGGCCTGTGCACAACAGCTCCAGTTGGGAGTGTGTGTTAAGGGTGATTCAGCTTCTAAAGTGTGTCATTCTTTGAAACAAATCTGAGTGGGAAACTGAGGATAGAAAGGGGAATCGTTCCTTGTCTGAGGTCAGTCCAGGTTCCGTGATGCAAGAGGGTATTTGGCAGTAATTCTTTGTTACCCTGTTTCTGAGTTGCTAGTGGGAACTCTTCCAAAACAAATCTAATCCAATGGTCTAAATACCTTATTTTGTAGTTTGATTTCTGTATTGCTGCTTTTGAATTAGAGTTAATGAATTTCCTATTGCTGTCACAAGAGACTTATTTAGAAGACCACCGAAGAGTTCTAAAGTTTTCGGCAGCAAGGCACTGCTACTCGCTGCTCTGCATGGCCCTGTTCACTTGAGTGAATGGTAGAGGTAAAAGGAATTTGTTGGAAGGTTCTTACCTATTTTCCTGCCTTAAGATAATGTTAAAGAAGCTTTAACATAATTCAAAATGCTGATAGGAATCCTGGCTTGGTCCTCTTTGGAGAAGAGGAGTAGACTTTGCTCTAGAGAGCACAGTCAAAAGAAGTGAAGAGATCAAATAGAAGAGCTCAGCACATACAGCTATCTGGGAGAAAGAGCTGGATTGATCAGGAAAGCCTCCTGATGTGTCAGTCACTTCTGTCCTTTCCAGCCCTATTTTCAAAAGTCATAGAAGGAAAGGTAGACATCTTGGTTTTCCTACAGATGTTTTGGTGAAGGCCATATAATCTCTATGTAGCTCTTTTCACACTCTCAGAATTTATTGGTTATGTTTTCTAAGTGCTGTAAAGAGAGAAATACTCAGTTTGCTGAAGATGTAAAAACCATGACAATGGTGAAGACTCCTCAAGCAGTTGGTCTTGCAGAGGAGTTGGAGATGGTGGATAGCGTCTCAATGCAGAGAAAGAAAATGGTTTTAGAAAAGGTGGGAAGTAGAGGTAGAAGCTTTTAATTATGTTTAATGCACAGGCATAATCTAGGCCTATACACTTCTCTCAATTCTCAGTTAATTTGATGTCATTATAAGGCTTGTGCAGCAACAGGAATTGATTTTTCTTCTTCTTGTTCCACCAAAGCTATTGTCATGATAATTATTTGTTCACTGTCTTTTCTCACAGGCAGCCATCACTTTGGGAAAAGACGTTTTCTGTGAGGATCAGCATAGCTTCTATTATTTCCAGACCTTTTCCATCCATTCGTTGTTTTTTCAACCCTGTTTTAGCATCTTGTGTGGTGTGGTTTTTTTTTTGAAACTAACTCTCATTTCACTTTTCATCTCTTCACCTTCGATTTCATCAGCTAAAATAACTTGTCATCACCAAGCTTTATGTGGTTTATACTACAGTGAAAGGAATTGTATTGGTCATGGGGAGGCATGCTGCTTGGAAGCATTGTCAGGCTCAAGGCTTTTTAGCCTATTCTAAAAGTGAAATCTATCAGCTAATCTTGAAAATACAAATGGTAGAAATCTCATATCTGGAGCAAGTCAAAGCATACGTATAGGTGAACTTTCTTAAATTGCGGTGTCTAGGTATGCCATGCAGGCCAGAATAATGTCATATGGACTGGATCTAGCTCATGGGTTCCTCCTGAGTAGTGTTTAGATTTCACTAAAGTTTGAGACCATCACCAGAATTGAACTGTCTGCCACATCCTGATTGAACATCCCACCCATCAGGCTTGTGTCTTTTCAACAGTCAGGACACTGCACACAGAAGCACTCTGTTTTTTCCCCCAACCAATTCTAACAATATTGTTTATAGCAATACTATTTTAATTTTTTTTTTAATTCTTGCTTCTCTTACTATGAAAGCAAGATTATTAAATAATCGCAACTTAAGGGCTCAAATACACTATCTGTACACTAAATACAAGTGTACTACTTCTAACTGTTTCCGCTTTACTGAGATACCTTCCACGTGATCAGTCAGAAAAGCAGGAGGGTCCCCTTGGGAATTTCAGCAGCTGTTTGACCATGCAACTGGTTTCAGAGGAACGACAAGGAAATGCTGTCCCACAGAGGCTGCAGGTCACTTGCTAGAAGATAGCTCACCGTAGGTGATATACAGGGTTGGCACCAACTCGCGTGTTTTTAGTTTTAGTTTTAATTTGTCACATAAGGTACTTTTGGTACGTTTTGATATGAAGTATAACTTACTCAGGCCATACCTGCTGTTTGGGAGAGTTTGTGAGAAATGTCAGCATGATGACCACGTTCTGAAATAGTGGTTTCTGCAAAGTGCTAAATGAATTCACATTGATCTGGCAGTACTGGAGGATGTAGCTTTTGTCTGTTGGTACACAGGAGGCCTCTTTCAGCTCCTAGTGGCTATAATGGAAGTGCAGGCAGGCCCCAACTATACTACAGACCTATTTCCATAGGTTCTACATGTACATGTTCAATTAATGCACGTTACAGAGCCATTTTTTGTGCTTCTGTAGTGCTATTCAGACACTGCACTTTTCTCCTTTTACTGCATTGCCCCCCTGAGACCTGTGTTATTTTGACTTGTGAACATCCCGGGAGGCCGTACCTCTCGTGGCAGTGCAGCTTCTCTCTTTGGTATTGACCTTCCCAGAACAAATTCATTAGTGGTCAGCATGGCCTCTGTGGTTAGTTTTACCCCCCTACCACTCTTTTGGAGCCGTCTATGGATTATTAGGCTATTTTCTTCTTGCTGGGAGCAATTTGTTTTTAATTTAAAATAAATGTTCTCTGTGAGAATTACACTGCTGCTCAACTTTTTTTCTTTTCAGAGTGCCCTACTATACAGAAGTACTCTGTGGGTGTAACTTGTTATAACCTGCATCCCTCTGGACTATTTCTTGCTCTAAGGTCCTCAGATTTTCCTTGTCACGGTGTGCGTGTCAGCACCTGGGTGCCACCTGCCAGTAGGCACTGACCCCACAGCTGTGGGACTGTCACACCAAAATACTTTGTTCAGTGTTTATTACCACGTGAGCCCTTGAGAAGGGAATTCCTGCTTTCTTCCACAGTCACCCAGCTAAAGCTTTATCTTTCATAGCAAAAAAATGTAGTGGAAAGAACTGAGAGGGCTGATACGGAGATTTCTGTCTGTAGCTCTGAGTGTTTGGTATTCTGTTACAGCACTGTTGTACCTTCAGAGAGCATTGCTTTCTGGCTGAGGCATAAACTCAGAAGTATTCATTCATGCATCTGGCTGGTACAGGGTCAGCACTTTCGAAGAATCACAATACAAATGATTGTCCCTTCACAGACCTT